TCTATTGCAATATATGGTACACTACTGCATAAACACTTAAAAATATACTAAAAATGTTATAAATGGTGCAAAGGTGACATTAAAATAATATCACAGATGGTTGACATTATAGTATGCTCCTTGCTTAGCGACGAATTCGTTTACCGTTGTGATTTTAGGAACGGAACTCCGTCATTAAGTGAGGAGAGTCTGTAATAAGAAAATAGGAGAAAATCCAGAGGGGTGTGTGTATATACGTACATGCTTGTACATGTATGTGTAGTGTGACATAAATGTAAGTATAAGTAGCAAGGCATACCTGAAACCTTGCATGTTTATGAGACAGAAAAAAGACACCAGCAATCATACCATCATGTAAAACGATTCTTCTTCTTTCTTTTAACAAACCAGCCATATCCCACCAAGGCAGAGTGGCCCAAAAAGAAAAACAAAAGTTTCTCTTTTTAAATTTAGTAATTTATACAGGAGAAGGGGTTACTAGCCCCTTGCTCCTGGCATTTTAGTTGCCTCTTACAACACGCATGGCTTACGGAGGAAGAATTCTGTTCCACTTCCCCATGGAGATAAGAGGAAATAAACAAGAACAAGAACTAGTAAGAAAATAGAAGAAAACCCAGAGGGGTGTGTATATATATAGTATATGCTTGTACATGTATGTGTAGTGTGACCTAAGTGTAAGTAGAAGTAGCAAGACATACCTGAAATCTTGCATGTTTATGAGACAGAAAAAAGACACCAGCAATCCTACCATCATGTAAAACAATTACAGGTTTCCGTTTTACACTCACTTGGCAGGACGGTAGTACCTCCCTGGGCGGTTGCTGTCTACCAACCTACTACCTACATGTAAAACAATTACAGGTTTCCATTTAACACTCACTTGGCAGGACGGTAGTACCTCCCTGGATAGCTGCTGTCTACTAACCTACTACCTAGGTGTTCTGCATATTGTGTTTTATATCCATACACTACCATAGTCTGAGTCATCTATTTTTATAAGCTCTCTTCAATTTTTTTTTCATGTAAAGCACTAAACCCGTGTGGGTTATTTGGTGGAACGACTGATTGAGGCTTGATCTTGCATCCACTACTCATGAGGCAGATACACTACCTAACTGTACTTACTGCTCCAGCTCTCTCCAAAGAGCTCATCTTTTGTACATCAGGAACTATACAGGTATACCATTATTATATTACTCCTTTGCCCAATATTCTCTTGAAGAGGATTAACGACCTACATAATTTTACGTTAATTTACCCCATTGTTTGGCTTGTCATTTGCAAGACTAACTTGGGTGCATGACCCAAATTCAAAATCAACCATAAAATTCCATTGAAAATGTGTTCACCTGAGTTACAATGCCACCCTTTTCTTTCTGCAATCTCTTTCCTCTTTCTTTTTAATGTCAATATTAACACTTAAACTGTGGAGTTTTTTTTTTTTAACAATTATGTACTTTTCTTACATTTACCCTGCCTTGGTGGGACACAGTCGAAGAGGTACAAAAAAAATTGCAAAATATTAAAAAATTAAATATAACTGCGAAAAATCTTGAACTAAATCTAGAAAATATTAAATCCATACCTTTTAATGATAGTGAACTTTCATGAATTAAAGCCTAGTCTACTCAGCCAGCAAAATCCTGCATCGCACTAACTTATTTACATAATCTTATATAATTAAATTCAATCATTTTATTATTTTTAGTGACAGACATATTTACACTAGAGTATGTACCATATCAATGAGAGTTTTCTAATATATTGGTAACACATAAATCAAAGATTCACAACTACATCTTACCTAATGTTAGTGTCTTTGCCTTACTTGGCTTTATTTTTCTGTTACTGCATATAAATAATATATTTTCTGGGCATGGTTCTTCTTGTGTGTAAAAGAAACAGAGTCAGAGAAGTGTTTACCAGGCCTGAATTCAAGTCAAGATTTTTTTTCTAAGAGGGACTAAGTAAGGTTCAACTTTAATAGCCATATGACAACCTACAACAGCACATTGAAAGAAATAAAATAGCACTGTGATTTTTGCATACACTGCATATACACACTGATATTCTTTTATATATACAGCCTCTCCTCACTTAACAACAGACTTCTGTTCCTAAAAGCATGTCGGTAAACGAATTCGTCACTAAGTGAGGAGCATACTATGTATAGTGGTAGTGGGTTTGTGTCAACTTCTTTGATATTATTTTAATATCATCTCTGCACCATTTATAACATTTCTGGCATATTTTTAAATGTTTATACAGTAGTGTACTGTATATTGTAATAAACAAAATAGAGGAAATCGGGGTGTCAGTCATAAGTCCGAGTTGTCGGTAAACGAGTACATTGCTAAGTGAGGAGAGGCTGTATATGTAATCTCACTACCAGTTTAAGGGTTAATGAGGCTAGAGCAATATTTAAAAATTTATAATCAAACCAATTACAGAAATTTTCCAAAAATGGCCTCAAACTTATTTCACACTCCTGATGCCGTTATCATTAAGTGTATCATAAAAAATTAACACTAATGCATTATTTAACCAATAATTAAAGCAGCACAATTTTTATCTTATAAAATAAATTTACATGAAATGATTTTTCAAATATTTTTGTACGTTGTGCATCAAGAGTATTAATTTTTCACATATGAAATTTTGGCAATTGTTTGGAATACTTGTAATTAACTTTTGGTACAATGTGTTAAGAAATGCAGATGACCATTTTCTGCTGGTTTGGCTCACAACTTGAAGTGGAAAAAAGAAAAATTTAATTGAAAATGTGATCACTTGGTTTCATGTAGCTAAATCTCTTTCTTTTCTTACTGGGCACTCTTTCTCATCATTATTAACAAAGTTTAAAAAAGATTTGAAGAGACTTTTTTTTATTATTATTACAGCAGCTATCCCCCACCAAAGCTGGACAATCCCCCAGGAAAGAAATACATTCATTCAATTCACCATCATTAATTCCTTCATGCATAGACATCATAATTCATATGAACTGCATTATCCCCAGACTTTATTCACAATAAAAACAACAATATACTATATAATTACAAAAATATAGTAATTATATAGTCAGTATTTATATTATACATCTCTAATTCAGCAGAAACTGATTAAAGGTAATTTTTCTTCTTTTAACAAACAGGCCGTATCCCACTAAGGCAGGGTGGCCCAAAATGAAAAACGAAAGTTTCTCCATGTAAATTTATTAATGTATACAGGAGAAGGAGTTACTAGCCCCTTGCTCCTGGCATTTTAGTTGCCTCTTATGACAAGCATGGCTTATGGAGGAAGAATTCTGTTACACACTCCCATGGAGAATTAAAGATAAATACAGTTATAAAAGTTTAAGAGCTGAAGATTTTCATTCTGAAGGATAAATATGAGAGTTGCAGTTTAGAGGGTTATCTGAATGGCCATGTCTGTGCCTTCTGGTAAAACCACAATAAAATAAATGATGATGATGGTGTTCATTCTTTGGGTAACCCTAACTTCAATGAAAATTGTTGGCATCAAAATAATAGAAACTGCCTTCCTGGGAGTTTGTTTCACTCTCAAGAGTTCAAATACATTTCCTACCGCTCCTGTAACATTCTGAAAGCCTAAAACAAATCCCAAGAGATGAATAGAGTAGATACCAGAAGGTAGCAGAAATCTGACCAGTATCTCCACTAAGTTCCAGAGCAACAAGGCCGTGATGAATATGTATAAGCAAATACTATTAATTTTAAGATTATTTGTATACAGTGGTACCTTGGGATACGAACCTAATTTGTTCCAGAAGGCTGTTTGAGTGCCGATCTGTTTGAGAACAGAACGAATTTGTTCCCATAAAGAATAATGCACTGTAGATTACAGGTCTCCCTCCACATTCGCAAGGGTTAGGGGATCAAGAACCTCACGAATGTTGAAAAATCGCGAATGTTTGGTGCCCAAATATATTGTAAGGAAATATAATAATAGCATTTACTTAGCCTAACAATACTGCTTCCTTAACCTACTGAACCATGAACAATCATAAAACACACGAAAACATCATAAAATATTGTACTAGTACCAGCCCTTTGGTAAAGAAGGTTAGAAAGACTATAGAATTCAAGAAAGAACTCTTAGCAGACTACCAAAGTGGAGGAGGAAGAGAGAAGGGAGAATGTGCTTTCTTCAGTTATTCAGTGATTCTACAATATGTATGATACTAAACCAGCATGAGTCGATTAAGGCTATAGCACCATCCAGCAATAAAGTGTAGCAAGTAAGTTAAGAAGCGATTATTCGATAGAAAAAGGACAGCACAAACCTAACTCCTCCAATGTTGTTGGAGTTATATAGGGCAACTGACAACACCGCAGTCTCTAGTCTCTACCGCCTCCACCACCACTATGTAAGGCTTATGTCTCAGTGGCCCTTATACACCCAACAACACCAACACAACGACACTTGCGACATACTTAATGACGTATTTTATTCATTCTAGAGTATGTGTCATGTTCCTATGTTATTAATATTGTTTATTATGTCATGTTAGATGAATTGTGATAGATAAATTATCCGTAGAGTTGATATTAGTGTCATACTGAAGGACTATCTTGTCCTATCTCCAAACAAACTCTGCCACCACCACAATTCCTATCATATGTAATGACATATTTTAAACACGATTGGGTGGCTAGGAATTTGCGAATGTTCGAAGCCCACCAAAGTGGAAAACGTGAATGTTGAGGGAGACCTGTAATCCATTTCAGACTCCCAAAAATGCACTTACAAAAGCACTTACAAAAACACACTTACATAATTGTTCAAGTTCGTATCCCAAGGTACCACTGTACTTGGAAAGCTTTCCTACTTTATGAAACACGCATTAACTTTTATTGGTAGATGAACATCCTGTAGTATTGTGAAGTAGGTTAACACTTGTAGAACTTCCCTATTAAATAAAATACAGTTCATTATTAAATCTATGTAATGGTGACATTTTCAAAATGATAACTTACCTGTTTTGGCACCTCTTGTAACTTCTTTTTTCTCTTGCCTGAAGCTTTCTCCTTGCCACTTTCCCCTTCTGTTCCTGATTCCCTGTCACTTGTTCTTGTCTTTTCGCTACCACGTCTTTTCTTGGCCGCCAAAGATACTTTCCGCAAGCGAAATATTGAGGGTAGAAGTATCTCGCCAGGTTTAGTTTGCTGAAGGACTGGTATCTTTGATATAGAGCACTGCTGTATGCATCTTGTAAGATCTTCCAAGTCTGCAAGAAATACAGGGTCCACAATATTTTTATGTTTACTTTTGAAATGCTTTGGCTTCTTCCTCTTCTTTTTATGCATTTGTTTAAATGATAATGTGGCCGCACAAAATGATGGTTTTCCATTTTCACTCTTTATTTTGGTTTTCAGCTCTTGACTACCATATACTTTTTCAAATATTGCTGGCAATTCCTTTTTCCTTCCCCGCTTTTTCTTTCCTTCCAAAGGTATGCCTTCACTATTAAACTTTGTTTTAAAGAATTTTTTCCGATGCTTTCTTTCAGCTTCTTTCAAGCATCTATGGGAAAGGTTGTGAAATGTGTAAGGATCACTGAAGGCATCTATGGAACCTTCAATATCCTCAACTCGGACAGATAATTTATCAGATTTTTCACTATTACGCACTTTTTCGTTTATGATTTTGTGCATTATTCTTTCACTGAAACACTTTTTGCTGGCTGCAGTAGCAGGCAAATTGCTGGACATATTTACTTCGTCTCTTTTAGGATATTTTCTTGGCCGACCCACTGGCCTCTTTCCCTTTAACCCTTTGTCTCTGGATTCCCTATCATTAAAATTCACAGAATTGGATGGCTCAAAACTGGCTACATGGGTTTCAGGCTTGGCACTAGAAAGATTGGCACAGTCTTCAGCACAAGACTCTGTTTTGTGCTCATTTTGTACTTTGTTTATCTGTGGTTCCTGGAGGGGTACACTGGGTTCTAACACTGGAGGGATCTTTTTGGGCCTGCCAGGTCCACGTCTCAGAGGAGGGATGGGCTCTGGAGGTGGGGGAAGGTCCTCAGCATCTATGTCATGATTCCACTTGTCTTCACCACAAACATCTAATACATGAGTCACTGGTGCACTTGACCCAAGTTCACTTCTGTAACACTTGAAACTATCAATCTCTCCTGGGAGCTTTTGAGCATTATCTTTATATTCTACAGAGAGAAGTTCCTCCACACTCTTTGGTCTCTTATTTTTAGAACCTTTAGGTCTCCCTCTTGGTCGCTTAACCCTTGGTCGCTTAGGTCTCTCTGGTTCTTTCTTTGGTCGTCCTGGTCCTCTCCTTTTAAGAGTGCCTTGTTCTTCAAGGCTAGTTCGTTTAGCAGTATCTGCCTGAAGTATTGGAGGTGGATCTACTTGACACTTGAGAGCTGGCATTTGTGGGGAATTTGGGGAATCATAATCATAATGAGGTGAACTTAACAAATGGGGAGGAGTAACAGCTGGCAATAAGGTGGGTGGTGGAGGAGAATCTTGAGAAATCAAAGTGGGAGAATAGGGTCGATTGTGGCTGCCTGAGCCATCAACAGATTTTCCTGCACTATACAGTGGAGAATGGTGGTGTGGTGGGGAACCAATGTGATGTAAAGGAGAACCACTCACTGACTGTATACCACTGTCTGGAGACACATTAGAAACATTGCAATCTAGTGGAACATAACTTTCTAGTTCTGGCATGGGAGGTGGATCTGGATCTTCTTCTTGATGAGCATCTTTTCCTGTTATGGGTCGAGGCGGCCTTCCTCTTCTTCTTTTATCTCCAAGAACTCCTTCATCCCGATTCCTTAAGCCTGTTTCAGCCCTCGGGCTCCTTGATGTCCTCTGTTGTTGCCCTAAACGACTCTGACCCTGCTGCTGCTGCTGTGAGTGCTGATGATGACGAGATCGATTCCGACTTTCCACATCATCCAAGTCATCCATCAGCACTGTGTTGAACTTGAGAGCAGCTTCTTCACCCACAATTGCCATTGAATTAATAGCTTCCCGCACAATAACATCTGGTAAGTCATCATCGTCGTCGTCACCAGCCACATCAGAGCCATGTTCATCTCCTTCTGTATCAGAGCCCGTCCGAGACACGACAACATCATCTGTGAACCCATCAAGGGACACAGATGACCCATCTTGGTGGCCACTACCACTGCTTACATCTGGTAGTAGTGCAGCCAAGTCTTCCTGGTCCAGCACCTGCAAGAGAGAAAACTCAGTACAAAAATGAAAATAAAAAAATAAAGTACTGATTTTTTTTACACATTAATTAACCTACTAATGAACAGGTACCTATGAGAAGACAATAGAACTAACATTAGCCAAGCAAGCTGTGGAAATTACCAGAAAAGAACAGTGTGTGGATACTGCAGAGTGCTTTTAAATATTAACCAAGCCTCTATACAAGAACTAAGTACAGATTGGCCATCACTAATTCGCCATCATCGGGACCTGTAGGGTGCCGGATTAGTGATTTTCCCAGATTACAGAGTGGTTAGGTTAGAATACATTTAACCCAACAGTGATATTTAAGCAACAGCGATTTCACTGACTTTATGCTATATTTTTGGCCCATTCCATTGTTCCAGTCTACCAAACTCATAGCTATTTCATTAGTATTCCTTCTATTCTGTTGACTGAATACAAGAAATCACCCATTTGCCTATTTCAACTACCCAATAAAATGGTCAGAAATTGGTAATTTGGCCAATTTCACACAAATTTCAAAAGATGCCAATTTAAAAATAATGTCCAGAATAAACACTACAGTCATTCCTGGCACTAAAATAACATTTTCTCTGTTCATTAGTCATGTCTCCAGGCCCCTCTCACATTATGCTTGCTTTCCATTTTGAATTTTTATTCATAGAAAAAAATAGAAGATTTACTGTTATGCAGACTACTGCATTATTGTAATAATCGTATAAATAATGTCAACCCATTCATGACTACATATTAGACCAGCCAGTTCGGCACATTGAATGGTGACGTCATTTGCTTATTCTTGAACACTGGCAAAAATTGAACATTTCTGCTACCTTGAGCTCAATTTTAAGGTACTTTCCTGCGTGAAACCAATCAAAATTACAGTAGACCCCCGGTTTTCGTAATTCAACCGTTCCAGAAAGATGGCCTAAATCCAAAATGGCCAATAACCGAAGTATATTTTCCATGAGAAATAATGTAAATCCAATTAATCCGTTTCAGACACCCAATAATATTAAAAAAAAAAAAGAAAAAAAAAAAAAAAATACATTTTATAGAGAATAACTATAGTTTTACATACAGATAACTATGAGAAACAAATATAAATGAGTAATTTTAACGATAAGTGAACATTACATACCTTTATTGAAGACTCTTGTTGGTGAGTAGTATTTATTTGTCGTCCCAGAGGGACTACATTCCAGGTGTATACCTACTGGCTATATACACTGTGACCTATAGCCATATTATTACCATCGACATACCATGTTCACTGAGTTTAATCGTCTCTAACAACTACCTTTAGATGCTATCATAAACAAATGCATGCCAAGAATTGTAAACAAAAGCCTTATGTACTATTAAGAGCGGTTACTGGACCAACGTAGATTCATACAAGTTTTCTCTGAAGTTGGACCTTAGAAAAAGTAATGTTTACCCTCCGCCCGACCCCATCCATCGTGTTTCTTATAGTATAATTTTGAAGAAAATATCATAGATGGATTAATGAAAATGTCTATATCAACCTAAAATAAGACATTTAATGTGCCCAAAAGCGATTATTATTAAACATACATCCCATATAAACACTGCATGTTTATATGCTATGTAATGTGTTTCTTACATAATTTTGAAGAAAATATCATAGATGGATTAATGAAAATGTCTATATTAACCTAAAATAAGACATTTAATGTGCCCAACAGTGATTATTATTATGTACTATTAGTATTACTATGGCGTTAAGACTAGAGGGACAGTCTTAGTGAACGAGTAACACAGACATGTTTATATGCTATGTAACATGTTTCTTACATAATTTTGAAGAAAATATCATACATGGATTAATGAAAATGTCTATATTAACGTAATATAAGACATTTAATGTGTCCAAGAGTGAGTCACGAATGTATGAGCAGCCCAGGTGGACGCGTCTGGTACCGTCAATTTCCAAGCCGACATACGAAACCCGGGGGAAATTTTGCTGAAAAAGTGCTCAAAATCCGAATTGTTTGATTTCCACACAGGCTAAAAACTGGGGATTCACTGTACAGTATATCTATTTCTGTAATATATATTCCATTCTATCAAAGGAGACCAAATAAATGAGAATACAACAATACAGACCATACGAAAATGCACCACAAAGTCGAGTTTACGCCATAAACACAGTCGCAGTTTTTTCTCATTATGCACTGCGTGCTGCAGGATTTCTTTTCATATAGTGTACACTTAACACACCGACATATTCTTTCATATGTAGGACCAAATTTACCGGTCACAGCTTATCTGAGTGAGCTGAGCTCATGGCGACCGACAATGGCTTCAAAGCTACGTCATCTTTCATGGACAGTGTACAGTGCATATGCTTTACACAATGAGAAGCATTTCTTTCATTCGCTGGAACCATGGCTAGGGCTAAAAGTGAGCAGGCTATAACAATAAATGGAGAAAAAGAAATTGGAATGACTTATGCAGCAAGTAGCGCCACCAAACAGTAGCAGCAAGTTGGTGTGGTGACCCTGGAAATTTGAAATTTGCTAGCAGAAATTAGTGCCGAATAACTGATGGAACCAGATGTCTGACTGCTGGATTTGTGATGGTGGACCTGTACTGTAAGAATACTTTTAAATGACCTAAGACAAAATAAGAGTCTTCAGGTCATAAGAATAAATTAAACATTTCTTGTTGAAGTAGCTAACTGTTTTTAACTTGTAAAAAGAAAAAATGGAGGAATTGTGAAAATAACCACACAGAACCATCAAGTGTTGGAAAATCATAGCCAATATATCTCTCACCATTTTATCTTCTATTCTTCTTTTCCCTCATAATAATACAGTACTACAGTATCAGCGCTTCAAGTTGCTGACTAAAAACCAACACCCTCCTTTAAATTTATAATTAGTTGTAAAATGTGCCACTGAAGAACAATAAACTAAATATTTATAAAAAAAAAAAATATAACTTTACAATAGGAAATCCACATAAACACTATCAAATTTGAAACCTTATACGTACATATTTCTAAAAGTAGCAGATGTGCTACTGTAGTACATTATAACAATACCATTTCTCATATTAGCAGTACCATAGCACTTTCTAGCATAATTGTATCACATTTTATTACTATAGTAACTCATTTTAGTGCTAAAGTAGCAAATTTTAGTATTACAGTAGAACATCTTAGAGATACTAATAAAAGCACATAGGTATTTATAATCAAATGTTGCTGTGAATTTGAGTTACAGTATTACTGACAGTCCTGTAATTCAGGGTAACAATACAGTCACAACCCCTAGAGCTCAATTCACAACTTACTTGCAAATTGTAACTGAAAATTGGACTGTGTCTGTCACAGACTATTATCAAATCTTGGTTTAATAGAGGCCAATTACTGACTGAAATGTATTCCAGTTTACATTTCCAATTTGTGGGTAAATTGTGAATTATTTTAAGCATAGCATCCATTATTTTCCAATGATTAAAATAAGTGATGTGCAAATTATTTAATGATAAGCAGGGGCAGTGATAGTGTTGCCACTCACATCTGTGAGTACTGTAGGTACATTCCTATATAAATCCACCCTCCTAGCATTCAAATACATTTAAACAGATCAATCAGCAAGAAAACTGAACATGTATACAGCAAAACATTATGCCAATGCAAATGGACACAAATATTAATATGAATACCTAAAACTTTCTTTGAGATACTGACTAAAAATGAACACACTGATCCAAACTCCTCATACTAAGTAACACCTGCATGTCCTTAATTATTATTTTTTTTTAACAAGTCGGCCGTCTCCCACCGAGGCAGGGTGACCCAAAAAGAAAGAAAATCTCCAAAAAGAAAATATTTTCATTATCATTCAACACTTTCACCTCACTCACACATACCTTTGATACATCTTTGAAGAATTTTGAGAGTATATCTACTCTACTCGGTGACATCACACATCCTTGTCTAAGGCCTACTTTTACTGGGAAATAATTTCCCTCTTTCCTACATACTCTAACTTGGCCTCACTATCCTCGTAAAAACTCTTCACTGCTTTCAGTAACCTACCTCCTACACCATACACCTGCAACGTCTGCCACATTGCCCCCCTATCCACTCTGTCATACGCCTTTTCCAAATCCATAAATGCCACAAATAAGGCTAAAGAGGTCTTTGTGGCATTTATGGATTTGGAAAAGGCGTATGACAGGGTGGATAGGGGGGTAATGTGGCAGATGTTGCAGGTGTATGGTGTAGGAGGTAGGTTACTGAAAGCAGTGAAGAGTTTTTACGAGGATAGTGAGGCTCAAGTTAGAGTATGTAGGAAAGAGGGAAATTATTTCCCAGTAAAAGTAGGCCTTAGACAAGGATGTGTGATGTCACCGTGGTTGTTTAATATATTTATAGATGGGGTTGTAAGAGAAGTAAATGCAAGGGTCTTGGCAAGAGGCGTGGAGTTAAAAGATAAAGAATCACACATAAAGTGGGAGTTGTCACAGTTGCTCTTTGCTGATGACACTGTGCTCTTGGGAGATTCTGAAGAGAAGTTGCAGAGATTGGTGGATGAATTTGGTAGGGTGTGCAAAAGAAGAAAATTAAAAGTGAATACAGGAAAGAGTAAGGTTATGAGGATAACAAAAAGATTAGGTGATGAAAGATTGGATATCAGATTGGAGGGAGAGAGTATGGAGGAGGTGAATGTATTCAGATATTTGGGAGTGGACGTGTCAGCGGATGGGTCTATGAAAGATGAGGTGAATCATAGAATAGATGAGGGGAAAAGTGTGAGCGGTGCACTTAGGAGTCTGTGGAGACAAAGAACTTTGTCCTTGGAGGCAAAGAGGGGAATGTATGAGAGTATAGTTTTACCAACGCTCTTATACGGGTGTGAAGCATGGGTGATGAATGTTGCAGCGAGGAGAAGGCTGGAGGCAGTGGAGATGTCATGTCTGAGGGCAATGTGTGGTGTGAATATAATGCAGAGAATTCGTAG